GGCCGTAGCGTGTGTGCGGCTCGTTTATATTTCGAGCTCAAAAAGTGTGTTGGTGTTCGACTCGTTTGCTTAGCGAGCCAAACACGAGTCGTTCACAAACAAAGAATCGTTTTGACAACCCTAATCACGTAGCCATAAGATGTTAAGGATTGGGGCAACATTTAACATATTATTTGAATCTAATTTAATACTTTTTATTCTATTTTCCTTATTAATACTTTTAATTGATTATAAATCTTTGTAGCCTTGTAGTCAATTTTTTAAAAAGTACTACTCATCAAAGTTATATATATAATTGATTAGTAGTATTTCGAGCCAAAACGAGTCGAACACGAACGAACAAAAAATTATTTGTGTTGTTCGTGTTCGGCTCGTTAACTTAGCGAACGAGCCAAACACGAGCTTCTTAATGAGCCGAACACGAGCTGTTCGCAAACAACGAGCCGTTTTGACAGCTCTATCCCTCAGTGGTATTTTTTGTATATTGCTCTATGATCTCAACTCAGGGTACCCGAGTGTCTTCTTAGCGAGGGAGGACAGAAGGACGTGAATCAAGTCTCAGTCTCCATACTTTGCCTTAGGGGCCCCACTTCTGCAAGGGATGGGTAGAGGACTCTAGTCCGAAGAAAACATGATAGAAGATGTACTCATCTACCAATATGTGGTTGTCAGCCAACTCCAATAACTCGGTCAAAGTTTTTGGTCACTGCGAATCCAACGCGTACTATAAGATTCATTCCAAGCTAGATAGGCATAGGCTACTATGGGCTCCAAGCCTCTCACTTCTAACATATTATTCTAGAAGCATGTGATGAACCGACGAATGATCTTACTCTATCCCCGTCGGATTTGCGGGAGGGACTGCGAGTTTTTTCTTATGCTTTTGGGCGCTAACAAACAACATAAAAATTTACTTGAAATCAGTGAATAATGTGATTAATTTCGATAGTAACACATTGAATCACCTAAAGGCCTACTCTCTTATCGTGGTAAAGAAGTGAAGACACTTCAACGTGTTGATGACCCTTGACAAAGACACAATTGACTCAAAGGAGGTTATATTGTCGATCGGATGAGACCTCCCTTTATAGGATTCTAATGTCGGTATTTTGAACCTCTCTCAGGGCTCAACCTAAGAGATTTGCTGAGAGAAAGCAACTTTGAGCTGTCGGGACTATCGAAGCACAATGATTTACCTTCTCTTTTCAAGAGTGGGGGAATTTTTTGGTCATTAGGCATTGACCTTTCCTCTCGAATTGCTGCTCGCTTTCCCTAGCCAGCACAAATTGGATAGCATCCAACATTTAATTTCTTAACTTTTGTATTTGCTTATTCAAAAACTGTCCGGTTCACTCTATGTTATCAGTGTCTTCGTTGTGGGTTTCTCTTAGTGGACTACTCTTTTTGTCTATGAAATGATCCAAACTCACTTTATCTTTTAGAATGTTGAATCTTCATTTTTCTGTGAATCACATCTAAGAAATAAAGTATAGGTAATGAGAGAGAGAGAGAGAGAGAGAGAGTTACATAGAGACGAGTAAAAATTTGTATTAATAGTGTCTTATTCATAAAATGAAATCCTTATTCTTTGGGTAGAGGACAAAATGTAATGTTGTTACATTTTTTTTTCCCCCTACATTAAAGAAGGTTGTACAAAGTATGCTTGTGATTTCACATGTAGAAACTTATCGTCTGACAACTCTCAGGGTTGGTCGACTAGCTCAATTTGATATGTCCCGGTCAGTTGATATCCACTTGATTGGATTGTATCAGCTCGGTCGACTTACTTTAGTTGGTATAAGTCGTCTGATTGATGCGGTCCGACTATCTATCCTAGACCCCTGATAAAGGGCTTCTGGATGTCTCTGGAGTTGTTGGAGATGCTAAGAAACCAGATCTTTTCAGAAATAACCCATTGTTGTATCCTCCGGTAGTACTTGGTTTGTCTTGAGGTTCACTCAGCTTTGACATTTTTTGTTTTGGCTCAGACACTTTTACTCGATTGGAAAAGTTGGTCTCGTTCTCGACTGCCACATATTTTTAATGTACAATTATTTATTTTATTTATTTTTACATTTAGTTCTTTAACTTAATTTTTTGTGGGTCTCCACCCTCCGACCACATCATTCCAAAATCGGAGAAAACTTGCCTGACTCTCCATCTTCACATCATGGCCAATATATTCCTGACCGCAAATGCAGAAAGCTACCAATCACATAACCTCTTCTACCCTCACAGTTCATATTAATTCCCCCAACCCTTTCCTCCTCCTCCTCCTCCTCCTCCTCCTCCTTTCAAAACCCAATTTTCTCTCAGCATTTCTCCAATCAAATTCTTCACATCTTCTCTCTTTCAGAATGGCTTTAGAAGCAGTAGTCTTCCCAAAAGAGCCGTTCACTTACTCCCCCTGCAAGGACCTCTATTCCTTGTCAAACGGAGAGCAAGACCGTTGGAACTTTGAATTTGAATTTCCACTGCAGGAGGAGAGCATTTGGAACGTTCTTTCTCCGCCGCCGGAACTAGTCGTCGGAGCTGATGCTTTCAACGAGCAGAATCATACGACGGCACCGGTCATAGTCGGCGGCAACTCTAAGAAAAAAAGACGGCGCATAAAGCGGTGCAAGAACAAGGAGGAAGCCGAGAATCAGAGAATGACACACATAACCGTGGAGCGCAACCGCCGCCGCCAAATGAACGACTACCTCGCTGTTCTCCGATCAATCATGCCGGCTTCCTACGTCCATAAGGTTTATTATTATTCTTCTTAAAAATGTTCCTCCTTTGATTTCTTTCTCTGTTTTAGCTCCTTCATCAGAGTATTACTATGCCTCTTATCAGAGCGATCAAGCATCCATCATCGGGGGAGCAATAAGCTATGTGAAGGAACTTGAATATATGCTCCAAACCTTAGAAGCTCGCAAGAAAATCGACCATCAGTTTCCATTCCTCTGTTCTAAAGACAGTACAAAGAAGGTGGAACAAATGGCGGCTACGAAGGCGGCGGCCGACATAGAGGTGACGATGGTGGAGAGCCATGCCAACCTCAAAGTCTTATCAAAGCGGCAGCCGAGGCAGCTGCTGAAGATGGTGATGGGTTTGCAGAGTCTAAGACTGACGACGCTTCATCTCAATTTGACCACCATTAATGACCTGGTTCTTTACTCTTTCAGCCTAAAGGTCACATTTTTAATCCTTCCATCATATAATTTTCATGCGGATGGAGAAAATTTCGTAGCTTTTGATGATTCAGTTCATGTTTTGGGACCATTTTGTAGGTTGAAGATGACTGTCAGTTGGCTTCGGTGGATGAGGTTGTGAAGGCTGTGTATCAGATGATGGAGAGGATTCGAGAGGAAACTGGGTTTTAGTACCCAGTACTTTCCAGGCTTTGGGGCTGTGAAGCTCCCCCTGGTTTATTAATGTGATGCGGCTGCTTAAAAGTACTGGGGTTTAATTAATTTTGTAAATTCAGATTTAGCAGTAAAATTTGAGAATTTCAATATTTGCAAATAGTTTGATTCAATAACTGTGGATTTTATTTTTAAAAAAAATTGCTAAATTATTTGGCTTTATTTTAAAAAGTATGACTGCGGATAAACAAAATTCTAAAAAAAAAATTTCATATTTAAAAAAAATAACTAATTTTTATATTATAATAATCCTTGCAAAAAAAAAAAAAAAAAATAAATTTTAAAATATAATAATTCTTTCAAAAAAAAAAAAAAAAAAAAAAAAAAAAACTATAAGATATAAGCTATAAAAAAAACCAGATTTTTTTCAATCCTTAAAAGCAGACGTATCTTAAATCTCATTCAAAATAGAATACCAAAAATGCCCCTTCACATTTGCTGTAGAGTGGCACTTAGACTTTAATGCACGATATTCGGCGCACTCATGTAAAATGATGTGCAATGTGTGTGAATCACCTCTTTTTTCTTTCTATTTTTTTTAAATAAATATAATTTTTTTCCTATTTATGGGAAAATTATTTTTTAGTTCAAATAGTATGATGAGATAAGTTAAATGGTATACTGTTGTAAAAAAAAATTAAATTAAAAAATAGGGGTCCCATAACAAATTCAAACATTTCATCCATTCTGTTGAACAATCTCATCTCAAAGTGCTTGAGACTAGAAATATTTTAAAGAAGAATGTTATTAATATGAGCGCAAACAAGTGTTTTCACATTGTTAGAATGATCAACACTTTTTTCATAAATGAGAATTGTATAAATTATACCATACTGTAGCCTCTCAAGACTTTGACAATTTTTGAGAAATTTCTCATTTTCATTTCGCAAAAGAAAAATCGAAATTTAATACTTCAACGCACACTCTTCTTGCAACGAAACCAAAACTTTAAGTGAAGATTGTCTGAGCTCAGTTACTGGCATTGGGGTGCTACGATAGTGGTGATGTGAGGGTGATATAGCGCTACAGCGACGTGCTTTTGTGTTTTTGAAACTAAACAAGATGTTGTTGGTTTCGCCACTGGGGTACTACATCGGAGCGCTGCTATGCTGGAATGTCATGCTCTTCGGTTTTGAATCTGTGTTGAGCGTGGAGGCACTGTCCTTTTGTACACTGGGACTCTGTGTACAATAACAAACAAACAAAAATTCGAACCAAAATTATAGATGACCCTGGCAAACTTACCGTCATGCACTAACAACAAATACGTAGGATTCTAAGCGAACAATTGATCAACATAATCAAGCTCCACATCATAACAAGTTCAATAAGAGAAAATGATGAATTTATTCTTAAAAATTTGGTGAGATGTTTTCGCAATTACATTTAACGAATTTGAGTATTATAGTTGGAGAGAGGAGCCTCTACTAATTACACTGAAAAAAATGATAATTAATATCAAAATTTTTACATGAATGTTTTAAAAATAATATTAAAAATTGAATAACCAAGTGGTGAAAGAACCTATCTCTATCCATCCCTTTCCAGCTATATCAGTTTCTAATCCAATATTTTAACAAGAGGGCACATGCTGTAACAATACTATGTTACTTCATGCACATATAAACATGCTCTAGGAACTTCTAAGCTTAGGCCTAGTTGGTATTAGCTTTGCCAGTACTGTGGGAGAGTTCTCTCCTCACTCAAAGACAAGAGAATGAAGACAAGGAAGATAAAGCTGAATGTGTGTTAAGGCAAATAGGAATCTCTGCTCTCCTCAACCCTTCTTCACTGAAGAGAATCACTAAGAGAATCACTGAACTTGAAAGAAAGAAAAAAAAAAAAAGGAACCTTGGAATTGGGAGTAGCAAGCCTTTTTGTGCTGCGTTGATGGGATTAGACACCGAGTTGGAAATCTACTGCGCTCTTAGCTTCTCAAGAGCTTAGAAAATAACCAGAAATAAACTATAGCTCATATAAATGTTGAGACAATGGGATGGAAAAAAAATCAATTATGAAAGTTTGTTTTAACTATAAAGGCCATTCATCATTCATTCAGCACTTTCTTCCCAAAAAAAAAAAAAAGGTAGGTTTTTTATCCGATTAAGCCATTTTGCAAACTGAAGCACTAAGAGTTCTGCTGTTGGTTGATTATACGAACTGCCACATGTGCATGAGCCAATGCAGAAATTTATCAGCACCAAAAAAGGTTTTGAAGAACAGTGCAGAGTTGAGACAGATTCTCTGGTTACAGTTGTGCAGAGAGTCGCTATCAGAATGATTAAAGTATATATTATAGTATTTCTTCTGTCATTTTGATATTTTGACGCCAGGACTGGTACCGGAAATACTGTCTGTTTTTGTCATAATTCAGACGAATAAAGTGGAGGGAGGGAGCTGAGAATTCAAGAAAATTTTGAAAAATTTTCACCACAGTAGTCCAATTTCTGCAGGTCTGTACGCTAATATTATAGTTCCGCGACCCACTGATTTCATCTGATGAGATATAAACAACATTTAAAAATTGGGATTTTTGAAATCATATTATGTTGGAAGTACTTTTGGTGGTGTTCAGCTGTTTTTAAGAGGACAGGAAGCAGCAGGAGTGTCTTAAAAAGACATATTCCTCTGTGCCAGGAATCAAGTGAGCTGCCACGCTATGGTTCATAAATGGAGATTTCGTGCTAGAAGAGCACAGCCATTTTAGCTTATCAGATTGATTGGTCTTAAAGAAGTGAAGGATCTGGATTCTGTGATTTCGATTCTCTGTAGTTCTCATGGTGATTACATGAAAAAGTTTGCATGTTTCATTTTTAAAATTCTTGTTTTAGGATCATTTAAGAACATGTTTTTCATACATGATGAAGGTATTCAAATCTCAGGAAAAAAATAAAATTTTTATAAACTCAAAAAAATCACAGAGTACAACTCTTAAACTCACACAAACTCAATTTAGAAGCTCATAAAACGTTCCTTGAAACTTGGTTCATAACATATAAAACTATGAGGCATTTATACAAGTTTAGAAGTAATCAACACCACACATTATTAAACAACCACCCTTCATTCTTCACCTACCACGCCTATCACGCACACATGCATCACATGTCTCACCAAATATTGACTTTTTCCATATCAACTTTTCAACAAGTTTAATTATTCAAAATAAGATTATTTCTAAAATAAAACACGTTTATTTTTAACACACTACTTTAAACTTGATTTGTAGCTTCAAGAATAATACGGAACTTCACAAACATTTCTTGCTTCAGTGACTTAGTAAATATGTCCGCCGCTTAAACTTGAGACATCACATACTTCAACTACATTTTTTTTCTTGCAACACATTCTTTTACATAGTGATAATGAGTGTCAATGTGCTTGCTTCTATTATGAAATACAGAATTGTTGGCCAATGTAATTGTTGGTTTGTTATCAATATGTATCTCGATGAGCACCTCTTGTGGGAATTGTAATTCTCTTAATAAATTTCTTAGCCAAGTTGCATTAAAAACTTAAGAAGTAGCTGCGACATATTCTGCTTCACAAGTTGAGAGGGTAACAAAAGGTTGCATTTTTTATACCAAAGTGAAGGTAGTATCTCCCATAAAAAACACGAATCCTATAGTACTCTTTCTATCATCTAGCTCTTCACCACAATAGCTATCACTATATCCAACAATTTTATATTTGTTAGAAAACAAGTAAAGTAAATCATGGTTGATTGTACCTTTAATATATCGAAGTATACTATTAGCAATCATGAAATGAGTTATCGTTGGAACTTCCATGTAGCAACTGATTACTCCTATGTATAAGTAACATCTGGCCTTATACAAGTTAAGTAGTAGACTTCCGATGAAACTTTTATAAAAAGTTGGATCCACCTATTCTCCTTCATTATTTTAGGATAATTTGACCCCATATTTAATTGGTATTCCAACATCATTAGAGTCATCCATTTTAAACTTCTTAAATACTTCTATATCATAGCCTTCTTGAGTGATAAAAATGCTTGTATCTTCTTGCCTTACTTCAATGGTGAGATATTATGTCATAAGCCCAATATCTGTCATTTCAAATTCCTTGACCATTTCTTTCTTAAATTTCTCAAATATTTTTTTATTATTACCTGTGAAAATCAATTCATCCACATACAAACACACAATTAAAATAACATTATCTTGAACTTTAATATAAAATGCATGCTCATATGGACATTTAATGAGATTTTTTTCTTTGAAATATTTGTCAATTCAACTTTTCCATGCTCTTGGTGCTTGCTTTAAACCATATAAAGCCTTCTTCAAGTTTAGGACTTTCTCTTCTTGTCCTTTTACTTCATATCCCAAAGGTTATTCAATATAAACTTATTATTTAAGAACTCCATTTAAGAAAGCAGACTTCACATCCATTTGATGGATCTTCCATCCATGTTGAGTTTCCAAAGAAATTATTAGTTTAATAGTTTCAAGACGAGCAACACGAGAAAATACCTTTTCAAAATATATGTCATATTTTGATTGTATCGTTTAGCCACAAGGCTTACTTTGTATCTCTCTAGATCTCATTTAGCATTCTTCTTCATTTTATACACCCATTTAACTCCAATCGTCTTGTGTCATTGTGGAATTGTAACAAGCTCCCATGTATCATTCTTTTTGATTGCTCTAAATTCTTCATACATAGCATGCACCTTTTTTTTTATTTTCCACTGCTTCTTGATAGCCTAAAGGTTCACATTCACCAAAAAGACAAAAAAATTTAATGTATCTTGATTATTAGTTACCTCATATATACCTTGTAAACTTAAAAAAATATGGCATCTTCTCATTTTAACTTTCACTTAAGGATATTGTCAATGTTGATGCTTTATGTATTTTTGTTTAAATTCACGGAATGATATGCTCATGTGGTTCTTCTCTTACAACCTCTTCAATTCTTGGTTGCTCATTTTCTTCTTCTTCTTCAAGATAAAGAAGAAAAGTATATTCATCTTCTTGTGTTCTCCAATACCCATTATCTTTTTCATCAAGCTCCACATCACGACTAATGAAAGTTTTGTCATTAATTAGATTATAGAGTTTGTAACATTTAGAACTTGACTCATAACCAATGAATACACACCTTTCACTTTTACCATCAAGTTTTTTCTCTTTTCGTCAGGAATGTGAACATATGTAATGCTTCTAAAGACTTAGATGAGAGATATCTAGTCTCCTTCCACTCTATGATTTTTGAGGGGTTTTTTCATGTACACTTTGTATAGGGGAACGATTCGTTAGATAAATTGCACAACCGACCGCCTCAGCCCAAAATTCTTTGAGCATTCTTTTACTTCTGTGCATGCTTCAAGCCATGTTGAAGTTGTTATATTCTTTCGTTCTACAACTCGATTTTGTTGGGGGAATCTTGGCACTTTTAAAGGATGATGAACGCCATGATCTTCACAATGCCTTTAAAATTCATTGGATGTGAATTCCCCACCACGATCAGATCCACTTTCTTTCTCAACAAGAGTTTGAAACTTTTTAAATTTTCAAACGCCTTTAATTTCTCCTTAACAAAAAAAGACCCATATTTTCCTTGAAAAATAATTAATAAATAAAATAAAATATTTACTCTCACCAAAGGACATTGGCTTAATAGGGCCGCAAACATTGGTGTGTATGAACTCAAGTGGCTTGGTTGCTCTTGAAGTTGACTCCTTTGGAAAGCTTTTGAGAGATTGCTTTCCAGGTAAACATCCCTAACAAAGTTGATCTGGTTGATTGATGTAAGGTAAGCCTCTCATCGTATGCTTCTTTGATAGAAGTTCAAAACTACCAAAATTGAGATGTTCATATTGTAGATGCCATAACCATGATGAATCACGATAACAAACTTTTAAACATTTTTCAACATCACATTGAACTTCAAGAAGAAACACTTCATTTTTTGACATAGGCATCTTAGCAATCAAATTTTTTCTATGATCACTTAAGAAAAGAGTATTTTCTATTAAGTGATAATCACATCATTCTCCAATAATTGACCCAAAATTTAAATATTATTTTTTATACTGGGCACATAGTGAACATTTGAGATGAATTGATGACCTCCATTCTTCAGGCATATTAGAATTTTACTTTTACCTTCTACCAATATTTTTGATTCATCTCCAAATGAGACATTTTCCTTT